CTGTAATCAGACTATGAGAATTATATACTTCAAAGTAACTTATCTAAAAATCAAGATCAAGATATATAAATATACCAATGTTAGACGTTAAGACATAATACTAAATTCGCTCGATAGTCACTACGAAAACAACACCAACCTCAGAATCACGATTTAATGTTTTTAAATTCCCGTATATTTTATATCTTTACAATCGTGAGAACCGATTTCAGTATATACATTTGAATAACAAAAACAACAAAAAAACTTAAAGTAGAGATATTCTGGATATCGTAATCGGGAGGAAATCCTAAAAATATCGTCACAATCATATAAAATCTAAATTAAAACAGAAATAAAAGGTAAATTTCTACAACACAGGCAAACAAATCAACTATTTTACAATCCGAGGAGAAAAAATCGCATACCTTGAGCACAAGATGCCAGTAATTGCGAGATAGACAGATCTGTTTGTTGCCTTTTTTTTCTTTTGTGAAATCGTCGTGTTTTTACAAACTTAGGAAATAACGAAAATAGCATAATAAACTAAGATATCGTAATAAATATGGAAATATTATAATCATAAAATTATATACATTGGCCCATAACTTTGGGCTTTACCCATGTGCTAAAAGGTTTAGATTAAGTTGGCTTTGGTAAAAGAATAATCAATCGTTCAAGGTGTAGGTAAGACAGAAATAGAACACTATGATATCACGTCCATAAAACATCTTTAATCGATTCCATAGAATAGATAGTTGAACTAAAGGAAGCATTACAAATTAAGAAGAAAATTCTAGAAACATACATAACTAATAAAACCATAATGCCGAGATAAAAGTTTGATGAATGATTATCCTAAAAGATAACTAAAAAATAATTATCATTATAACATATAATAGATGCTCAATAGTTGGCATATGGAAAAATCAAGTGCTTGGTGCAGTTCCAAACATGCACAGGATTCACAAAGGCCTTTTCATCGAGAAGAAACCTATACAAATCACGCAAAACATAGGAAGAGGTCCACTCACCCGCTGCATGAAACTCATCAATATAATGGTCATCATCTTCGGAAAGAATTCCTATAGCATAGCAAGCACCTTTAAATGTTGAATATCGAACATTGTTCACAGTCCTTAGATCCTCAAAATAACATGCTCCTCTCCTCACCTTCAACAAAAGTCTTAAATAGTAAAGATCACCAGATGTTAAGGGACAACTCTCCAACAGAAACACTCGTGAAATTCGAGATAAACGCCGTCTCCAACATGCTCGCTCAATATCCCAAGCCCACTCTGAAGCAAATTGTGGATACGTCAACTCCCGTGCTTCAGGATGAAGACGATTACATTCCATCCAAGCTTCCCATTTGCTCTTTTTGTCAGAGCTAGACGTTCCATCATCTTCCGATGATACACACGGCGGAGATGGAAGGTGAACAGGTAGGAATCCAACACCTATAGAGTTTAAGCATAAATATTTCAATATTTTGGATAATAATCAAAACATATAAACTTATGCTAAGTTATTGCTATGTGGTTTTGGTGATATCAAACACATCATTAAAATGAATAATAATCAAAACACATTACCTCTTAGAGACATATTCCAGTAAGTGTATATAACGTAACACCGAAAAAGGGAGTCCTGAAAATATTTTTAAAATATGTATGCAAACATTATGAGAAACAAAACTACATATATCTAATACTAAAATAGACAAAACTAAAGCATACAATACTAAAGTACACAATACGAAAGCACTCTAAAAGAGACATCTTACAGTCAAAGAAATACGAATATAAAAAAATATTGAAACCCCAAAGCGTAAGAATTATGATACAAATTAAGATAATGACAAGATGATGATCTTCTTAACTTAACATGGATTTATTATAAACCAAACGATTAAATCAAACAGGGTTAATAAAAAACGTATAGAATGCGTTTAAAAACAATTACACGAAACCTAGAATCTGGATATAAGGAAGAATGCGTTTACAACTATAATATCCTCTTCAAAAGAACAGAGTCAAAAGACTACAATATAAAAACAGCAACAACATAAAACACACACAAAAATAATAGATAATGAAAACGACGCAAAGAATGAAGGAATTGCATATTCGAAAGTTTAACCTAGTTTTTTTTCCTCAAGCAATATAAAGAACGAATATAGGGGACGCATTTTTATAGTTTTTCAATAAAAGGGTTTTCACTGCTAGGGTTTCGGTTAGACTGAATAATTGTTTTCCTATTTTGGTGAAAGTTCCATTTTTTTATATACGTAAATTAAACATTTTTAAAAAATTATTTCCGGATTGATCTATCTAATTACCTTAAAACAATATGAACAGTCTATTAGCATTTCAAGGATCATCTAGAATATCAATTACTTTGTATTAAAAATATCAATTACTTTGTAAGCACACAAAGCATCTTTGCAGTTCTATTGCTATGTGAATGAGACAAGTCGTTTTTATCTTTCTAAAAAATAACTGTAAACAATACTTGTATGGATAATGGTGTGAATAAGTAGACCAATTCATGAATATATAGAACGAATATGATGAGCACGGGATCCACATTACATTAAAAATATTCGATAATACACAAAAACACATATATAAAAAACTCAAAATATGATAATAATCTAATTCATATTATATAGCCCAAACCGAAAAGAACATTCACAATAAAATAATAGCGAATATAAGGTCGTGACGAATAACATGAAGGCAAATCAAAACATATAAAAAACTACGAATCCATAACACCCAATAAAAGGTTCTGTTGATATATTAAAAAGGTATCTAAAACATTATCAGAAACAGAACATATAATGGATATTCAAGAATCGGCAGAGGGAAAGATCAAGTGCTTGACGCAGTTCCAAACATGCGCAGGATTCGCTAATGCCTTTGCCCTGAGAAGAATCCTAAACAACACACGCAAAGCATGCGAAGAGGACCATTTACTCGCTTCATAAAATCCAGCAATAAACTCATCATCGTCTTCGGATACCAATCCTATAGCGTAGCAAGCATCTTTGAATGTTGAATATTGAACACTGTTGACGGTCCTAAGATCAGAAAAACAAAGCGCTCCTCTTCTCACCTTCAACAAAAGTCTTAAGTAATAAAGTTCACCAGATGACAATGGACAACACTGCAAGAGAAAGACTTGAGAAGTTTGAGATAAACGGCGCCTCCATTTTGATTGTTTACGATCCCAAACCCATTCCAAAGGGAATTGAGGATACGTCAATTCCCTTGCTTCAGGATGAAGACGATTACATTCCATCCAAGCTTCCAGTTTACTCTTCTTGCCCAAACCAGATGTTTCCTCATCATCTGAGAACGATTGCGACAGTGGAGGGAGGTGCACAGGTAGGAATGGAACCCCTAATCAATGTTAATAATATACATATCAAATATAAACGATTAAACGTTTTAACCAATAAAAATATGAAAACTTAAGATAGGTGCTGATAAATAACAAATACCAGCCGAAGACATATTCCAAAAAATTATATACGATGAAACACTGGCTAAGAGTATCCTGAAAAGCACAGAGTCAAGAGATCAGCAAGTACAATATGGCAAATTAAAAAAAAAACGTACAAAAATTTTAATATAAGAATCAAACAACAAAGAAATACAAGAAACACTAAAAGAAGTACATATAAAGAAAAATACATTAAATTATAGCCTAAAAGATCATAATAGAAACGATTAGGTTAAGAGATAAGTAAGTATACCTATAGGAGTTCTGAACGTGTATAAGCAGGCCGTCCTAAAATAACAAAAAACAATAGTGATCGGACAAAAAGCAACATAGTGTTAGTTTTAAGCTAGAGACTGTAAACCAATAAGGGTTATACGAAACAACATAAAAAGATCGTATAAATACACTACACGAAACCGTTACGATGAATGAAAAGGATGAATGTGTGATTGGGTACACAAATTCAATATCCTCTCAAGCGGATGAACCTACAATATGAAACCAACAAAACCAAAAGAAAAAAGAAAAGCAAACAAAAAAAAATTTGAAATCAAAAACCAAAACGAAATAATATAAAACATGCGGCTAACAGAACTTACATGAGATAATCGAAGAGGAAGAATCAAATAGCAATTCAATATCCTTCTCAAAAGATCAGCGTGCGCTCTTAGATCCAGTATCGTCCTCAAAAGATCTGCCTACAATAGAAAGCAACATTAACATCAAAATTATTCCAAAGAAAAAAGCAAGCAATATATAAACGCAAATCAAAACGCCGCAGAACTCAAACAAATAAAGAAAATATTGCATATGAGAAAATTTGACCTAGGGTTTATCTAAAACGATTTGAAAGAATGAACGTATGAGACTTATTTATATAAGTGTTTAAGATTAGGGTTTAGGTCGGTAGATTTCGTTTAGGTCACGTAAAAAATGGGCCGTGAATATTTGAATGGGCTTACGATATTGTTTTCCGCGAGTTTCTTTAAAAAAATTTGGTTAATATATTCAAAATTAATTATTCTCATTAAGGGGTAAGAGGTAATTAACCAGTTGAAACTCAATGAGAGGCCTCCATTGCTTATTCTGAACCCAATTTTAGTAGTATAGATGTGCTAATATAAGGGACCCGCTAATATAGTCGAAAGAAATGACCTTTAATAATGAAAGAAAATTTGAATAATCTCAAGGACTTCCCCTCATTATTAAAGGTAACTTTTTCAATTTATATTAGCACATTTCAATTATCATTGTCAAGTTTTATTTATTATGCACTTGCACATTTTTTCCATTCCATTTGTTTTTTTATATTTATTTTGGATCTACAAGAGTTAAAATTATATTTTGTCAGAATAATAAACAAGTTGACCTGTTTTATTCATTTTTTTAATCGGAGTTTCTTCAATCAGAGTTTCAGAGAAATCCATAAAAAAGATTTGTGAGATGTGTGTTTTTCCATTATAGTAAAAGTTCCACTCTTTGATACTTTTTCCTACAGATCAAAACTAAACATGATGGAGAAGAAGCTACTCGTAGCAGCGTCAATCATCTTGAATCTCATATTCACAATTCATATTCTTTATAACAAAGATTCAACCACATGGAATCCGACGTGGACCAATAGAGCTGCTCTAGAAGCAGAGGATGCAGCCTCTGTTTCTTGCTCAGGCCATGGCAGAGCTTACGTGGACGGTCTTGGTGCTCTTGACGGCAACAAACCTCCTTGTGAATGCAACAACTGCTACACCGGCACAGATTGCTCCATTCTTGTCGCAGATTGTCTTGTTGATGCTAACTCGTATGAAACAACTTCTGATCTTCCCTTTGTTTTTGGAGCTTTAGATTTTGATTGTCCAGCTAATGCTATAAACTTTTGGATTGAGTTTTATATTTTCTTTTGTTTTTATTGGGTTTTGAAGAGGAGACCCTTTGTTCTTGGAGCCATTCTGGATGCAAAAGTCAGAGGGAAGTGCGGTTGTTGAATCAGGATGGCACATGATGAGTTATTCATACTACGCATATGGCTCGTTTGTGTCTCAAGAGCTCGAGAAGGTCATTAGGAAACTGCATAATGTAGTGGGAAACGCAGTTACTGATAACAGATTCGTAATCTTTGGAAATGGAGCTACGCAATTGATTGCAGCCTCTGTTCATGCCCTGTCCCGGACAAACTCATCATCATCATCATCACCTGCAAGACTTTTGGCTTCTGTTCCATTTTACAATGTAAGGAAAAAAAAGCTCTGTTCTTGGCTTTTGTATGTAAACAAAACTGGTTTTTGATTCAGTCTGTGTTGTGTGAAGATGTACAAGAATCAAGCGGACTTCTTTTATTCAGCAAATGTCAAGTTTGGAGGAGATGCATCTGCGTTGAAGGAGAGCGAGGACAATGATAATGTCACACAAGTTATAGAGGTGGTGACATCTCCTAATAATCCAGATGGGAAGATGAGAAGAGCGGTTCTTGATGGTTCCAATGTCAAAACAATACATGATAATGCTTATTACTGGCCTTATTTTTCACCTACTACACATCCAGTTGATGAAGATTTGAGCTTGTTTAGTCTTTCAAAGACTACAGGTCATGCTGGCTCAAGATTCGGGTGATTTAGATTTGCATTTCTAGTCCTCTAACTTTGGGTCGGTTTTTGGTTTGGTCACAAGAACTCATTATTGGTTTTTTTTTTTGGTTGCAGATGGGCACTGGTGAAAGATAAAGCTGTTTATGAAAGAATGAAAACATATATAAATCTAAGTAGTTTGGGAGTTTCAAGAGACTCACAGCTTCGTGCTCTGCAATTGCTCAAAGTAGTGCTTGGTGATGGAGGCGAGGAGATATTCAATTTCGGCTACAAAACATTGAAGAAGAGATGGGATACACTGAACAAGATCTTTTCAATGTCCAATCGTTTCTCGTTGCAGACAATCAAACCAGAGTACTGCAACTATTTCAAGAAAGTCAGAGACTTTACTCCATGTAGGTTATTTCTTCTAGTGCAAGGAAGCTGTTGATACATTTTGTTCTTTTTTAAAATGTATATAACTTGTTTGGTTAAAGCTTATGCGTGGGTGAAGTGTGAGAGAGTAGAAGACACAAACTGCTATGAGATTTTCAGAGCGGCAAAGATAACAGGACGTGATGGCAACGTGTTTGGATCAGAGGAAAGGTTTGTGAGATTGAGTCTCATCAGATCACAAGACGACTTTGATCAACTCATTGATATGTTGAAGAAGTTAGTCCCTCGAGGAGCTGATTCCATATGAAAAGCATGATTTTTTGTCATCAAAATGTCTTCAATACGTTATGCATATTCTATGAAGGCTTTGTACTTATCGTAAACATTGTTGGATAATTATCCACATAAATGGATTAGGTAACAAAGTTAAGTAATTCCACTTATTTTACCTACCACCTTTCGTCTCCTTAATATAAATATATGTGTTGTACAACAATAATGAGAAGTGATTCGATTAAGTGAGAAACAATTCTCTGCTCCCTCTCTCTCTCGCAAAACAAAGACTAATACAATATATATATATAGTCTTACCTATATAATATATATAGAAAGATAAAGTTTATAACACGTTATCAGAACGAACGTCTTCTGATCCGTTTTTATACCAGAAGAGATAAACTTTTAAATTTATGTTCCATCTATTTCAAATTTATATATTATTTCGGGATGATAGGTTCCGTCTTCTCTGAATCGTTGATTTAAATTTATGTTCAATTTATTTTCAAGTTTACGGGATGATAGGCTCTGCCTTCCCTAAAACAATCGTTCTGATGGGTTATACATTTACGATCATCTGATCATATGGTCGACTATGTCTCCTCGGATCATAAATATAGAGGAAAAGGTTAACCTCCTCCTTGATTTTATATTTATGGAGTAGAAAGTTATACCTCCTCCTTAAAACTATGGTAGGCTCTGCCTCTTCAATTATATAAAAGGTTATGTCATCTATCTGATAAGGATGCTGAACTCAGGAACAAAAGAACTAGATAAGATTCTGAACAGTCAAATAAGAAGAGTGAGAAAGTCAGGTCTAGGATATATATTTTCATTATATATGCATATTCAAAAGTTTTTATCATGTTTCTTTAAAACTAAAATTTAAATTGATTTTTTAGCTAAATATATGATATACATACATGTATCATGTTAAATTTGACGAAACTTGAAATCCCTGCCCTTGATGTGTCTGGAAAAAAATACATGTCATGGACAGTAGGTGCAAAAATGCATCTAAGAGGAAACGGGTTTCTCGATACCATTGATAAGTCGAGAAAAAGGCTAAAGCCATGATATTTTTGCTCCACCACATCGATAATAGTTTTTAAACAGGAATACATCACGAAAGAAGATCCTGCAGATCTTTGACAATCACTCAAAGATAGGTTTGATCACTAGAAATATGTGATCTTACTTAAAGCCAAACATGAGTGGTTAAACCTCCGGTTTCAGGATTACAAAAGTGTTGGTAAAATATAATTCTCCGATGTTCGAAATTACTTTCAGGATGAAGTTATGTGGACAGGAGGTAAGTAATTCCGATATGATCGAAAAACTCTCCAAACATTTTATCCTGGAAATATAATCCTGCAACAACAATACCGGGAAAATGTTACACCACCTACTCGGAGTTGATGCAAATCCTCCTTGTAGCTGAACAAAATAATCAGCTCGTGATGTTAAACCATCAAACTCGTCCAACTGGATCAGCTATTCCCAGAAGTGAATGTTGCATCATCCAGTCAAAATAATAGGACTGAACGTGGATGCGGGCACGGTCGAGGCCGTAACTGCGATCACGGACGAGGTCGTGGACGAGAAAGATAAAATGATGTTGGTCGGGAAGCAGAAAAGCAAAAAGAAATTGTTTGTTACAGATGAGGCATAAAAAATCATAGGACATGTACCTGTCGTAGGCCAAGACATTTAGCTGATCTGCACTGAGCATCACAAAATGCCAAAGAAAAGGATAAAGGAAATGATTTTGAAACCAATTTCATCTCTGATGAAGTTGGACCTTCCTTTGATGGCATAAGTGATTATACTCATCTTGATATCGCTAATTTCCTTGTTGATCCTGAAGAATCAACGGAAACAAAGCGAGTAAGGTCGATGTAATATATAGACTTCTTGAAGAAGATAAAAAAAAACCAATGTAATTTTAAATAAGAGTTGTAATATATTTTTGTTAACAAGAAAATATTTTTCTTAATATAAAATAACTTTGAAAATCATGTTTTTATTAATGCATTTTTTTTTTCATATTGTGATTCAGAACATGTCATCGTTTGAGATTTAGGATGGAGATACATGTCGAGCAGACAGTGCTACGATACATACTATACTTAAAGATAAAAAATACATACTATATTCAAAATAAAAGACTCCGCCGAAAATGTGAGTACCATATCTGGTAATGCAAACATTATAACAGACTCCAGAAAAGCTAATTTTTCCATGCGAAGGGGGACAAATTGGAAATAAGTGATACATTATATTCTCCCAAATCTAGCAGGAACCTGTTAAGTTTTAAAGATATCCGAGGAAATGGATATCATATAGCAAGTACAAATGAGAATGACATTGAATATTTTTGCTTTACGTCTGATAGGAAACATGTATTGGAAGAATTACCAATGATGTTCTATGAGTTATATTGCACAAAAATAAATATGACTGAATCTTATGTTGTAGTAAACCCGGGGTTTACAAGTACATTTAGAGTATGGCATGAAAGATTTGGCCAACCTGGATCATTCATGATGAGAAAGATTATGCAAAATTTGAGTGGCCACCCATTGAAAAACCAGAAGATTTTTCAATCAGGAGAAATTTCATGTCAGACATGTTCTAAAGAAAAACTTATAACTAGGTCCTCGCCAGCCAAAGTTGGAAATGAATCTCATGTATTCTTAAAGAGAATACATGGTGATATATGTGGGTCGATTCACCCACCGTGCGGGCTATTTAGATATTTTACGTTATTAATTGACGTATCTAGTAGATGGTCACATGTGTATCTATTGACCACAAGAAATATGGTTTTTGCAAAATTCATTGCCCAAATAATCAGGTTGAGAGTGCAATTCCCTGATTATGCTATAAAGAAAGTCAGGCTTGATAATGCTGGTGACTTCACTTCAGCGGCCTTTAATGACTATTGTATGTCATTGAGAATCGTTGTTGAGCATTCGATCCCACATGCTCACACACAAAATGGCATGGTTGAGTCTTTGATAAAACGATTGCAGTTGATTGCAGGACCGTTAACATTGAGAACAAAACTCACGATTACAGTATGGGGACATGCTATATTACATGTTGGGGCGTTGGCTCTGATGAGGCCAAGTGCATATAATGAATATTGCATAATACAGTTAACATCTGGTAAGGAGCCAAATGTGTCTCATCTCCGTATTTTTGAATGTGCGGTCTATGTCCTGATAGCCCTGCCGCAAAGAACAAAAAAGGGACCACAAAGGAGATTGGGAATATATATCGACTATATGTCACCAAGTATAATTAGATATCTTGAACCGGTAACTGGAGATATGTTTATGGCACGTTTTGCCGATTGCCACTTTGATGAAAATGAATTTCCCGCGTTGGGGGGGAGGGGGAGGATCAAGAGAATCCCCAAAGGATATCAAATGGTGTACACAAACCTTGGCTAATCTTGATCCCCCTACCCATCAATGCGAGGTGGAAATTCAGAAAAATTATACATTTGCAAAGTTTGGCAAACCAGTTATCTGATGCGTTCACAGATACGAGAACGGTGATGAAGTCATATATCCCCGCTGTTAATGCTCCATCAAAAATAAATGTTCCAGAATAATTTATTGATGGAAATAAAGCAAATGAACCGCAGGTTCAATTAAAGCGTAGGAGGTTGATGGGCTCGAACAATAAAAATCCTTGAAAGAAAAAGAAATTGAGAGATAAAGTTCCAGAAGAACCGAATAAAGAAAAATGTCCTGAAGACATTTTTGAAAAGGTTCTAGAAGAACCATATAAAGATATATGTCCTGAAGACATACATAAAGAGGTTCCAAAAGAACCAATTAAAGAAGTTCGTATAGAAAATGAACATGATACTGAAAAGTATGAGATTTCCATTAACTTCGCCTAAAGTGGGACATTATGGGCTAGAAGCGAGATAAATGATACAATAGAATATTCTTCTTTTCGGTATCCAAAGAAATTGATAGTAAAAATGATGATCCATATCCAAAGTCCGTGTCAGAGTGCCAGAGAAGGCCTGACTGGGAGAAATGGCAGATGGCTTTGAGAAATAAATTATTCTCCCTAAATAAAAAAAATTTCTTTGGATCTATAGTCATTACACCTGAAGATGTAATGCCAGTTAGGTGCAAATGGGTCTTTGTGAGAAAAAAATTAGAAAAATGAGGTCACAAGATAGAAAATCCGACTTGTGGCACACGGTTTTTCTCAAAGACCGAGAATTGATTATAAAGATACATATTCTCCGGTCATGGATGCAATCACATTCAGGTACTAATGGCATCTAAAAATCTAGACATGTACCTTATGGATGTTGTGACTGCATATCTAATGAATCACTTGATAGTGAAATATATATATATATATATATATATATATGTAAATCCCACAGGGAGTAAAGATTCCAGAAGGATCAAAGATGCCTGAAGCATCTAAAGACATATGTTCGGTCAAATTACAGCGATCACTTTATGGATTAAAACAGTCCGGACTCATGTGGTATAATCGCTTGAGTGAATACTTGTTGAGTAAAGGATACATCAATAATGTTATATGCATTTGCGTATTTATTAAGAAATCAACATCAAGATTTGTGATCATTATTGTATATGTTGATGACCTGAACATAATCGGAACTCAAAAGGAGATTGATGATGCAAGAACTCACATGAAAGAAGAATTCGAAATGAAAGATCTTGGAAAGACAAAATTTTGTCTAGGACTCCAGATTGAGCATTTCCATGATGGAATATTTGTGCATTAATCAAATTACACCAAAAGGATGTTGAAACGCTTTAAAATGGATAAAGCAACTCCTTTGAGTACTCAAATGGTCAATAGATCACTTGATATTAATAAAGATCCATTTCGACCTTGTGAAGATATTGAAAACGTATTAGGTCCTGACGTACCTTATATGAGCGCTATCGGTGGGCTTATGTATCTTGCAAATTGTACTCGACCAGATATAGTTTTTGCTACTAATCTACTTGCAAGATACAA